CCCCCCCGCTTTTAAACCCAGGATTTCACACACCAACCACTGCTCAAGCCAAGTCTCTGCAGCTGAGCTGGCTCTCCCTTGGTGCGGTGGACCCTTCGCTCCATACAACATGGAAGGTATTGGGAAGCAGGTGACTAGGATCTGTAATGATGATGAGGTGCAAAAACCATTAATTAATATCAGCTCTGCAGACAGCTCCAGGGACACAGTGAAGTGCAACAATGCAGCTACAGAGAAAATCTTCTAAGGGGGAAGAAAAAGGATAAAACTGTTGCAACACATCCCCTTTCAAGCAGAGGCAGGACCAGGGGAGCAGCGCGGCAGGACCAGAGGGAAAGGGATAATCACCGCAAGGAGGCACAAGGTGGGATCATCTGCTCCTGCGCACTGGGCCTCGTCTGCCGGGGAAGCACGGGTCGTGGAGTGGGCTTCCCTTCCTCTGCTCTAACCTGGTACATAAAAACTGAGTGTATTTTTATTTAAGCTTAAAAAGAAAAAACAATTTAAAAAGTAAAATTCAGTTGCCCGCTGAAAAGCTGGTAAGCTGTAACTTACGCAGGGACAAAACCAAAAAAACCCCACAGACCAGAAATGGGGCTTTTCACGTAAATCCTGTTGCAAGCCTTTGCATTTTCCTGATGAGTGCCGGGTGCCATTAAAACAGCACCCCCTGCTCAGTCTCTGCCAAGCGGCTGCAGCAGCCGCCCTGTGCCTGCAGGAAGCCGGGGACGCAGCTCAGCTCCGTGGCGAGGAGCCCACAGCACCGTACGGACACTCAGAGACACAAGGCCCCTGCAGAAGCTTCCCCACGCTGCGAGTGGGACCTCGTGGGGAGAGGGTCTCGTCTCACCAGCGCCCTGACCCCTGTCAAATCGCTGTACCGAGTCTGACCGGCTCTGCAGCCCCCCCCGGCACCCCAGGGACTGCCGGGGGATGAGCTCCAGCGGCACAAGGAGTTCCCAGCCCCAGGCCCGCAGGGCTCCTGCCTCTCCGTCTTTAAAACTCCCTGCACGTTTTGGCTGTTTGCTGCTCGCGCCGCTGCTGCTCGCGCAGCTCTGGCTCTGTGCAAAGTGACGCCGAAGATGCCAGTTAACTAACACTGTGCCGGTGGGGCTAAGAGAGGCCGTGGCTGCTGGGACCTTTTCTGCACTGATCAAACTTGGACAATCAGTTTACGGAGTATTTTAATTAGCTCGCACAAAACAAAGTGCGGTTCACACGGTCACAAGCAATGGCCACCTTACACACGAGTATGAGCACATATTATTTACGCAAGATAACCTCCATTTCAGATTGATCACGGCAGGCTAACAAATTCCCCTTACGGAGATTTAATTTCCGGCTTCTGACCTTTGGATATAAAAACCCCGCAGAACCCCTCAAGTGAGTCATCTCTGGCCAGTTTTACATTCGTGCTGGCATCCTTCCACAGTGTGTCGTGGTGCTGGTGAAGACCGGACGGCTCAGAGTCACGCGAATAATTAAGTGTACAGGATCAACGCTGGACTGAAAAATTCACCAGTATGTTCTAGTTGCAGAAATATCCCCAGACGTAGCCCCGTGTTGTGCTCATCACCAGTCAGCAAATGTCCCTGCGTGCAGGGAGCACCCATTCAGAAACGGGAGTGTGAACCGGGAGCTCTGGCTGCCTGCAAGGGAGAGCACCTTTTCTCTGTTTTAAGGCCGTGTTAATTATGTAAATGACATTTAAAGCCTCTTGACGGGGTGAAAAATAAAGTCACACATTCCAGATATGCAGCCAACGACCAGAACAGCACACTTAAACACCCCACCCCCATCCCCCAAATAAAAATCTCTCAGGATTTAATACAAACGTGGGTGACCTGATTGCAGGGGGGGCTGGTGGTCCCTGCTGGTCTGAATCGCGCGTCCCTCCCCCCCGCAGAACACTCTGCCCGTGCTGAGCAGATTGCAATATCAAGGTCAGGAATTTAAAGAGAATAGTTAAAAATGGATTGTCTTTGGGAGGAAGCAGAGTTCATTTTGAAGCTAGAGAGGAGGGCGTTTAGCCAAGCTAAATGTCTGCCCCCCCCTCTCTGAGCCTGTGTGATTTAGCATTTAGTCTTTGATGTTCCTTCGGTGAGGTTTTTAGCGACAAACCAGCAGCTGGAGAGACCCCGCTCTGGGTGCTCTTTAAGCGACCACAGGAGGGCAGGGCCAGCAGCCGCCCAGGCAGAGGAGATGTCGCGAGACGGGCCAGCGTCCGGCGCCCGGCGCAGGGAGAGGTACCCCCACCCCGGCGCACTGGCCAGGCCGGGGGCCTGCGGTGCGGAGCCGGCCGGTGTGGTCAATCCTGGCGCGAGGGCCCGATGCTAATTCTGCTCGGGTTCTTCGGGACTCGTGATTTTTCCAAACAGCGAACGATAAAGCTCCGTCCTGGGGAAAAGAGGAAGGAGGAGGGGGAAAAGTTACCGTTCAAGGTCGAAGCGGAAGCAAGAGGCTGCCAGCAAAACCATCCACTCCTTAAAATGAAAAGGCCTCGGATAATTAAAAATGCATTCCGCAATCTTTATTAATAAATAGAAGCAAAGAGGAGAACTTGCGTAAGACCAATCACATGCAGTACAGAAATATGTAAATATTTCAGTGTGGCTGGATACCACGTCTCTAGAGAATGAGGTTTTCTATAAGTTTGCCCTTTACAGACAGGCTCTTCAAGAAAGAAAACAAGATTGAATATTTTAATAGGATGTATGAGACCACAGAGCCATAAGGAGGATTCAATCAGACAGTCTACGTGGGACTATAATTTAGTTTTCATACATTTTCTTAGACTTGACGGTACTTGAAAAACAATGAAAACGACCCAGCAACAAGATTCCAATTAATATCACATATGCAGCAATTCTGGTAACAGGAGCAAGTTTCCCTTTAAAAAAAAAAAAAAAAGTGGGCTGGTGTTATTTATCTTTAATTTTAAAACCAAAGTAACCTGAGAAGAGAGATGGAGGAAAGGAGGGAGCGTTTTTAGAAGTCATGCATTTCTGGAAATCAAGGCAAAAGCATTGGGAAAGCCTTGTTTTCTCCACATGCACTTTCTAAGGCAACGGCCTGTTGTGAGAGGACGGCACACGCAGAGCAGAGGACGGCATTTTTCCCTTCACGTTGCCATGGGCCGGCGTCTCGGTGGTTCATCAGGGCCAGTGCCTGGGAAAGCAGCTGCTGCAGAAGCCGGGCCAGGAGAACTGTCAGGACAGGCAGAGAAAAGAGACTTCTCCACCGCTCAAGAATGAGTAAAATAAGGCTTCAAAGGATGAAATTCAGACCTGACAGAGATACTGTGATTTTGGCTACCTCCGCAATTAAGACCACGACAGGGACCACTCTCGCTAGGGGCTGCTTTGATGCCTCGCTCCTTCACGGATCAATGAAAGATGGCAACTGGTTTGAGAACTGTCTGCTTCTTGCAGACGCTTCCACTGGAGAAAGTTACCTGTCAGCCTCGTGAAAGAAGGAACTTCTAAGTTTTGAACAGTGATGGCAGAAAAACGCCAGCCATTAATCCGAGGAAGTCCAGGAACAAAGTATGCGCTCCAGCAATGCAGGAGGCTGGACAGACATGCACGGACCACTGAGACAAGAAATCATTCTAATTCACAGGGCCACATCTCTTAAATTAATTTTAATTTAGAAGCTAATTAACCAATCAGCTGCTCTACCCTCAGAAAATGAGTCTGTGGTGAGGAATGCGTCTCCTTACCTAACAAAATGGTCGACGCCGTGTTTTGTGTGCAAAGCTCAGCCGAGACTATGAAACCGCAGCTGGAGTTTGTGTTAAACCAGGAGCGTGCACGCAGGTTTTGGCAAGTTTAACACAAACGCAAAGTCCAAACACTTCTAGAAAACACAACCGATACTTGAAAAGCTGGAAACTTTGACACTTGAAAGAAAAAAGGAGGGAGAGGGATGCCTTACCCAAGCCTACAACCTTTTCCATCCTTCCTGACTATTAACAGATAAACGTAACTTGCTTTTGCTGTTTCAGCCGAGAAACCAGACGGCAAGCGGCACTACTGCCAACAAGGACTTTGCGACTTTAAGGCTCCGTCAAGTGATCGGAAGGAAAATGCAGAGCAATGCTATTTAGTCCTCCGACAACCACAGCCCTCCAGCATTGCTTCACCGGCTCGGCTCAGACCCCATCGTGACACTGAGCAAATGTTTCCACTTGTACCGCACTCCCGGTGAAATTCCTGGGCAGCGCGCGGCGGTTCCTGTCCGCGGCAGGGTTCATGACAGGGGCAGAGAGGGAAATGTTGAAACCGGTGTTTTGATAGAAGATCATTTCACACTCAGGTGGGCAAAGCTGACAAACACTCGCGGCTTTCTCCTGTCAGAAGAGGCTGAGCGGCTTGGGTACTTTCAACGAAACATCACCCATTCCATTCTCTCTCCCCTCTCCCTGGTATATGCCTTGTTTTAAATATGGCGACTTAATTGCACTGAGGAAAACAATCTAAGGAAGATAAATGACAATACCAAACGCACTCACTTTGCTGGTTTCCAGCCCACAGTAGTGGGAGCCACACAAGACCTCAGGAAGCTGACAGCGACAGACTCCAGCCTGCTCACTCTTGTGCCAGAGGAAAGGAGAACCCTCCCAGCAGCCAGCAGGGTCTCGCGGCTCCTCTTCTCAGGATTGTTTTCCATTTTCTCTTCCACCGTAGGGATGCTGCTTTTGCCCCGGCTCAGGGCTCGAAGCCTCTACTCTGTGCAGCTCCTGCAGTTTGTTTGTTTTAATGCACGTGCTGGGCACAGGCACTAACCAGACAAGTTCGATTCTCAGCTATTAAATAACACACGTCTCGCATACGGACTCCCTCCCACCCCTTCGTGCTTTGCTAAGGCACAACATGGTCTCCACACGTTTCCTGCGCTCTGTATGCTCTCCCACAGATTTTGTACAGCTGACCCAAACACCATTTCAAGATCTTAGTCCTGATCCAGGACTCTGGAGCTCTGCAGACACGGCTGTTGCTTGGGAGGATCCACTGCTCCCACTGCAGATGGCTCCGCTGCCCTCCACCGACGGAAAATGCCCAGCGTGGGGATATTCTTTGTTTTGGCTATAAATCCACACTCTCCTCCAGCCCCTGAGTCACTTGGGCAACACAGAAGACTGGGCTGAAGAAATCCTCTTTTGGAGCCTGTGTAAGCGCTGCCAGGGGCACAAATCCACTCCCAGGCAGACCCTGTTCAGCCCGACCACTGCACGCGCTCGCAGCAAACTGCATGCAGGTCTTCTCCTGCTCCTCTTCCACACCCTGCTGCCAGCGAGCAACAGAAACTCCTTTTATTTTCTCCACAAGCCTCACTCAAGGCTTCAAACCTTCCGGCTCCTCTGGCTGCTTGCCAAACATACCTCAAAGGCATTTTGCAAAATTCAAAGGGGACTTGCTCCCAACCATCACCTCCACTGCACAGAGGAGGTCCCGTCTGCAGTTTCTCTACATATGCCCTTCTCCTCTTATACATCCCTTCATTTTTTTTTACAGTCCCCAGTAACGTAAGGAAGTTCAAATATAATGTGCACATTCTGGGGAACCCCACAGAAACCAGCCAAAGACAGCAAGACTTTCTGTGTTTTCCCGGTGAGCAGGCAAAAGCCAAAAGTAATGTTTCTTTGCAGCCTGCCTTGGCCTTTCCCACTGGTGGAGAACCAGTCTCCTCAGGTTTTTGTCGTCTTTTTTTTTTTTTTATAGTCTTCTGATGGGTACAAGAGTTCAGGGATCAATGCTGAATTTGCTCCAATCCTACAGATTTTAAATAAACACTCATTTTTCAAGCAAGCCGGGCCCAGGGAGACTTCAAGCAAGAATCTGTCTTCCCCAGCAGAAAAATGTTGCCAGCACTGACAGACTCCGACATTCATGCCCCGGGTTTCACGGGTGCAAAGAAGGGTTGTACCTGCAGCCGCAGGCAGGGAGGCAGGCCCTGCACCGCCGAGCCCAGCGCCCCCACGGCCCCCATCCTCCCGGGCACGACGCTGGCAACCTCTGTTGAAGTAAAAATTCAAGTGGAGCTGTTTGGATAATAACTCAGCATGGGTAGACACCCTGGCAGAGAGTGAGAGGAGAAGGAGGGATATCAGGTAACCCCACCACCTCCAAAACAGAACAAATATTTCACCCTAAAAAAAAAAACCCAACAACAAAAAAACCCCAACCTTTTTTTCCCCTCTTCTCATCATCTACGCTACCTTTCTTCTACAGCATCTCCCCTCAGCAGGATTTAACCATGCAGAGAGTAAAACTCATCAATCCTCCAGGTTTAACCTTGTCTCTGTTTCAATTCACCAGGGTAAGTGTGGATTTTAATACTTTCAGCCCCCTTAAGGCTACGCATAATGAACCTGGATTTTGGTTAAAAAAATATAAAATTTCTCTCCTCCACCCACATATATTAAACATCAGACTTGAGCCACTGAGTTGAAACAACCCACTACCCCACTGCAAGTCTGCTGCCTCCAGATGAAGGAAAGGTGACTTTAGCACAAAGAGCTACTGGTCTTAGCAATGTGCTGAGGAATAACCTATGCGAGTAATTAACAGTACTTACACCTCAGGTAGAGAGTGTGGAAGAAGCAGGTCGATACAGGGGTCTTCCTTGAATTAAAATTTAACTTACCCTTTATTGCAACCTACAAAAGCAAGTAATGAGCACTAACATTTTTATTTCTTTTAAACTGTCATTTAGGCTGTAGAGGGGATAATTACCTATTTCCACTGTAGTAAGGTTTTATCACCCTTAGTGAGGCATTTTCTAATTTAATATTTTTACTATATTATCATAAAACCTGTTTCTGGAAAAAATGATCACGAACCACACAGCCATTTGCCATAAAACATGTGTGTGTAAGTACCTTGGCTTAATTATTTATGCATTTCTTCTGAGCTGACTCCAAAGGCAGAGGACGGCACAGGCGCTCGATGCACCGGGATCGCTGTGCCCAGGCACTCACCCCTTCCCGGCTCCAGGGCCCGCTCCACAGGCCCTCACAGGCACCTAGAAAGTTTGCACAGCCCTTTCTTTCAACGCACCAGCAGTCTGAGACAAAAGGTATACGTGAGGGGGGGGCGTTTTATGCTGCTTTCCGTGCCCCTGCGCAGTTGGAAGAATCCTGTTTTCGGTGCGATTCGCAAGTCGGTTGTGGCTACGCTGGTTTTGTGGGAAGAGCGAGGAAGGGACGCCCCTGCACTGCTCACCACCCCAGCCCCGCTGCGGACCCCGGGGAGGGCATTCCCCACGCGAGCCCCAAGCCAGCAGCTCGACTGTCTTCCCATTTGCGGCTTAACGCTTGCACAGCCCTTGGCATGGTCGCAGCAACGCTCCCGGCTGCAGGGAGCCCCCACCACGGCGCTGCGACGTGAGCTTTG